ATGATTCCTGAGATATGTGTGGTGAGTTAAGAATCAAATTGCTCCATCTGGGAACCAAACTTCAGAACAACTATTTGTCTCTATCTAGTTTCTAAAGTAGAACCAAAATGAGTACAAAAACAGGTTTCTCAGTGTATTATGGGTCAGGAATGACATATCCTAGGCCTTTTCCAGACTTGTTACTCATCTGTAGGTCAACATTTGTCCTCCTGTAAGCCCATTTTAATATGTGAAAATTTACAATTAGTATATACTATGTGTGTATATTTGTATAACACTTATACATTACAGGGTTTGAAACTCAACTCCTTGCATCTGCTAATCAGTGTTCTACCATTTGAATTGCATGCTAACTCCAGAACATAAGGCCAGAGTTAAATAATAAAAGTCATCCCCAAAAGATTTTTTAATTGGTTTTATGTTTTTTTATACTTAAAGGAAACTGTATCTACAATGCACTAAGCATTCCCTAATGCTCTGCTGATGGTCATTCAATGATTGTCCCTATCTTATTTTAAAGCAGTTTTCTAAAATTTAGAAATACTTCAATAAAATTTAGAATACAGATTTAGTTTTAATTTTTCTTGTTGATGAACAATATGTATTTTACTTGCTTGAATTGAAGATTTACAATTCGAAAAAGGCTCTTTTTGCAAACTGCGTTATAGCCATCCAAGAGACAAACTGGTGGCTATAAAATTGTTGAAAATGAGTAACTATTAAAGATACTTACACAGGCAAAATATCACCCAGGAGAATATTCATATATTGTGTCATTGAAAGTTACTATTCTTTGAAACCCATAATCATAATCACTCAAATAAAAGTATGAATTAATGTTGTATTAAACTTTTGCCCAAAGGACATTACAGATCAGATTTTATTGGAAGTTTCGAAGATTGTATCCCACAACCTATAGTGCACTGCCAAAAACATTAATAATGCAAATCTTTTTTGAATACAAATAACCTCTGTAAAGTCTGCTTTGATTATTAATGGGATTAATTATCTGCCTGCTCAGTGCTGTTATTTTCATTTGGAATAACAGTTGATAATGAAAGACCAACTCAAAATTTTAAAATAACACATTTAATAATACAAATTAATTCTTCGATATAATCAAGAAGAAAATATTGCAGTGATAATGTCTTCTCCCTTACTCAATAAAAACTTATTCTGTGAATGTATTTTATTGACACTTTCAAACTGAGAGATAAATTCAGGTTTTATTATTTCTTCCAAGTTATTTTCAGACCTTGAGAGGTGGAAATGTTCATGGTGAGCCCTATCCCAAGACCCCCAAATTGCTGTCTTTCAAAATTCCAATAGCTAAATGTATTTGCAGATAGAATATTTCGCAGCAGGGTAATTTCCATAATGTTTTTGAGGCAGTGATTTGGTGAATACAAAGCTGAATAAAGCAGAGATGGTAATCTGCTTAAAGAGGAAGGATGCTGTCCTAAAACAGACCTACATGTCCTCATACATAATAACAGGAAGTCTCTGGGGCATTTTCCCTAAAAGGCAGGCAAACCCATGGAGGCCAACTTAATAATCTACTACTTTGTGATATATATATATATATATATATATATATATATATATAAAATCCATAGCAAACCCATGTGAGTTTTTCAACCTTCACATGACTATAATAAAATACTTGAGATAATTTCCTTGTAAAAGGTAAGGTTCATTAAGCTCACATTTTAGAAAATGGTCAGCCATGCCTGAGTCTCCTCATTGCTTTGGGGAGGAAGTCTGACACTCCACATGGAAGAGTATTGTTACTATGAAAGACTATAGTGCATGAGATATGGTCATCATTGTTTTAACTGTTTTCTATTTTCTCCAGTGATAATAAGATACAATTTAATAAAATCATATGCAAACACAAAAAAGATTCCATTTACGGTAGTTGACTTCACACTGCACTGGCTACCATGTTTCTGAACCACCACTATTTCTTGGTCCATAGTACTATGGACTTATTCACAGTAAGTGGTAGTTACTATGATTATGTATTTACCTTAGAGCTACTGATTTATAATATGCACTCCAGCAACACTGGATTTCTATAACTCCATTATTGAAGCTCTTTTGCTAAAAGGTAGTAAATGCTGTCTTAACATCCAAAAATCCCAAAGCAAACAAATATATCTAAAAGTCCCCGTGGCCAGAGGTCATTTTGATAGACTTTATATCCTCTTTTATAGCAAACAAGAATTTAAAAGTCTCCTTCTTAAGGTATATATGAAGGGAAAAAAGCTTTCAGAATTAAAAATAATAAAAGTATATTTTAAATTTAAAATATATTAAAATAATAATAAAAACCTATCAAGTTTAGTTCAGCACAGTAGAATTGTCATTATCAGCCGTATTTTTCTTTAGCTGGTTCCTCTGTAAGACAGTTTCTTCCATGGAAATGTGATCCTGTAGTAATGCATCCATCAAGTGAATTCTATGGTTTAAATGGCAAGATTTTATTGTGTAATCAGTTTTTAGTTCATATGTCAACTCAGTTCTGTTTGTATTTGCATTATATAAATTTCAGATGCATCCTAATTGTTTCAGAGGGCAATATTTGGCAAATAAATTCCTATTGTAATGTATTTTTATGTCATTCAAAATTTCCATTTCAATTTATTTTAAAAATGTTGTGCATATAATTGGCTCTAACCCTTAGATTTGGATGTCATCAAGTTCCAGATTTTTTTTTAAAATCTGAGTATTCCTTCTTTCATAATCTTACTAGAAATGAATAGACAAAAGCCAAAGATTACCTGTCAAAGGCTGGGAAGGTGGCTCAGTGGTAGAGCGCTTGCCTTGCATGCATGAGGCCCTGGGTTCTATTCCTCAGCCACATAAGCAAAAAGAAAAAAAAGAGCTGGAAGTGGCGCTGTGGCTCAAATGGTAGAGCACTAGCCTTGAGCTGAACAGCTGAGGGACTGTGCCCAGGCCCAGAGTTCAGGCCCCATGACCACACCCTCCCCCCCCCACAAAAAAGATTACCTGTCTATTGGCTACATCTGAGTGAAATGGTGAGCTTTGAATGGGGCACTTAGAGTTGAATCCATCAGAGAACCAAGAACAAAATCATCACGGTGATGCTGTTAATCCTGGTGCTGTTTTTCACGAAGTGAAAAATATTTTGCAATATTTCTGGCTTCATAGAGTATATTTATTTCCTATTTTGTTTCCTGTTTTCTAAAAATTGGGGGCACCAAAACATGTGAAAGTAACTTGTTGCGTGAATATAGATAGTGTTCAGAATTTAAGAACTTCAAATGATTGGATTGGTTGGTATGTGTCTGTTAATGGAAACTATGTGGAGGCAGAGATTAGAAAGCAAAAATATATGTCTGAGACAGGCAGAAATGGTCAGATAAGTTGATGTTAGGCAAAATGAACCCTAAGATAAGGACTCAAATGGTTTTTCTTTCTTGCTATTGTTTCTAACATATTTACAAGATGATTTCTTTTGCTTTGTATGTCCCTCCCCCACGGTATAATCCTGTTTTCACTGTATTTGATGTTGGTATAATTTGTGGAGGGGAAGGGAAAAAACAAATTGTTTAAATAGGGATACAGGTGGACCCATTGCAACAATGAGATGTACAAGACGTTATGTCAAAAAACGAATTTTACAACTTTGGCAGGGGTAGAAGGGATGGGAGGGCAAGGATGGGAAGGGGAAGCTAAGGAGGAGACAGCAATGCTTGATAAGAAATGTACTCATTACCTCGCTCATGTTATTGTATCCCTTCTGAACGGTATTTTCACAATGATAAAAACTTACAAAAAATAAATAAATGTTTCAAAGAACTTAAATTTTGTTAAGTATTTCTTCCCCTGGAAATTTCTCTTCATGCAATTTTAAAGCCTAATCTGTTTCATAAAACTGTATTTTCAGCATAAAATTTAGCATCTCAACAATTTCCAAGAGTACAATGCAACCACATGCCAATTGTTATACAGAAAATTTCTGTGACAATTTCCCATTGCCACACATGAGTGAGATGCTATACCCAAGATACTCATCTTTCCCACATCAGCATTGGAAACCACATGCTATGTTTCTGATAATCTAGTGTATATAATATATAGAAATGGAATCATATAAACTTTGCTTTGTTTTTAATTTTTACCAGTCCTGGGGCTTGAACTCGGGGCCTTGACCCTGTCCCTGAGCTTCTTTTGCTCAAGGCTCGCACACTACCACTTGAGCCATAACACCACTTCTGGCCTTTTTGTTTATGTAGTACTGAGGAATTGAACTCAGGGCTTCAGGCTTGCTAGGCAAGCACTCTACCACTAAAGCCACATTCCCAGCCCTGCAATCTTTGCTTTTTGAAAGTTATTTTTAACTGTTATTATAAAGGTGTTATTATAAACTGTAATTCAGAGGAGTTACAGTTGTATAAGTCAGGCAATGAATTCATTTCTTTTTGGACACTGTCACTCTTTCCCTTGATTTCACCCAGTTTTTCCCTCCTATCCCTACGCACAAGGTGAGTTCATTTTCAAAATAGTTCTAGTGAGTATCACTCCTGCACAGCCTTTGCTTCTTGATTACAGCCTATGTCACTTAGTATAATGTTCTGAAATTTCTTCTATAGTATAGCACTGGGTTTTCTTGTTTCATGACTGTGTACTATTCTTTTGTGTGTACGCACCATGTTCCCTCTATCATTGCTCTACTAATAGATAGGTTGCTCAGACGTCTCGGCTACTGTGAATAACTCTCTTGATGTGACTTTATATTCAGTTGGAACTAATAAGTTGTTCACCTATACTCTGTACACATTGTTATTTTGCTTTTTTTTTTCTTAGTTTTTAGCCAAGGTCTGGAAAGTATGCATATGTATGTGTTCACTTAACATTCACTGTTTAGAGTTCTCTTATTCAATGCAGAGGTATAAATGACAATAAAATAATCCTTTTGACAGTGAAATCACATAGTGATAAGATAAATAATGGAATGCTGTCTGTCATTGCAGGATGAATCTGCACCAGCTGACAAACAGTGTAAGTCAGAGACCACGCAGGCTACTTACTCAACATCCACTGTTCCAGGCTCACAGGAGGTGTTGTACATCAATGGAAATGGGACGTACAGTTACCATAGTTACAGAGGGCTAGGAGGAGGACTGCTGAACCTCAATGATGCTTCCAGTAGTGGTGAGTCTTTATTATCGATTGCATTCGGTGTGTTCATTTGGGGGTGGTAAATATTTTTCAACAGAAAGTAATTAGAATGTGTTAGAAGTAATTGTCAATGCCAGTGTGGTTAAAAAAAAAAAAAGGACATTTAAAACATATATCTCCTCTCATGGACAGCTCTCTCTTTTGTTGTTCCTCTAAGAGCAGTAGCACTTGGAGCTGGGAAGGTGGCTCAGTGGTAGAGCGCTTGCCTTGCATGCATGAGGCCCTGGGTTTGATTCCTCAGCACCACATAAACAAAAAGAAAAAAGCCAGAAGTGGCGCTTTCTGTCCCCAATGCTATAATGTACTATTTGTCAAAAATAGTGCAACATTTCCTTGGTGTTCATAAAGGTTTTTGATTTGGAAATTCTGAAGAAACAGAACCTTTGTCACAGAGAGACACACTCATTTCTGATTAGGAGCATGCAAAGTGAAACAAGGCAGAGTCCCATGTCCAGCAATTTCTCAGCGATAATGGAGAAGTCCACCAGCAGTGAGTGGTGTCTCTTCCAGGACAAAAACGTTTTTAGGAATTTTTTTTGAATTGGTATGACAAGATGTTTTCCATATAAGCCAGAGTTTTAGAGTTCCAAGTCTTAGGCAAATTGAGGGATGTGAATTTTAAAATTTCTTTTTAAATGATTATTTTACTGTAAGGATGATTCCAGAAGGGCTACAGTTGAGTATATAAGGTAAGGAGGACATTTCTTGTCAAATAGTGTTACCTGCTCCCTTGTTTCTGCCACTTTCCCTCCCCACCCTGACTTCCCTCCGCTGCCAAGTTGCAAAGTTCATTTCCAACATAGTGTCTTGTATCACTGTTAGATTGGTTTACCCTTTGTCCTTTATCTCACCATTTCATTATTTCCCCTTCCCTCCTCCAAACTTGATAAATGTGTGTACAAGACACAGAGTATCATAATCAATAGGATGTACACCAAAGGGGGAAAAACGAAACAAAAAATAACTTCACATAGTACACTAAAAAAACAAGAAAGAAGAAACAACAATAAAACCCTCTTGTTTCCATATCTTGGAACTCATTTTGATTAGCATGATTTTATAAGGACATATGTATGCAGCTATTGAGCTATTGTGATCCTTTACTATGACAATCCAAGACATACACTTATTGTTACAAATGAGGGAAACCATGGAGCCTATGTTTCTTTGAGGCTGGCTTACTTTTTTCTTAATAAGATTTTTCCAAGTCTTTTCTTTCATAAAGTTTTTCTTTGAAGAGTTATAAAAGGACTTCCTGCTCAACGTGTCATTTCATGAGCCCAAAATATCTTAATCAATGTCTCTCCTTACATCATTTTCAACATATCCCAACTTTACCCATGTGATTGCTTGTAGAAATGCAGAAACATTCAAGTGAAATTTGAGAGTATGTGGACAAAACTCAATATACATTTAACACTTGACCCAATAATCTTGTTAGTATTCAGTGTCAAAAGCACATTGATAAATGTATGAAACAGACATGTATTCAAGAATAGTCATTACAATGTTATTTTTAAATGCAATGCAAAGTTTCATCACTTAAAAGGTTCATCAATAGATGGCTGGTTGACTACTAGAATATATTCAAACAAGAACATCACATTTATCTATGAAAAATAATGAAAAAATCCTTATATATTATTATGCAGCAGTCTCTGGAGGTAAAAAAAACATGCTGATTGCTAATATTTATGAAATAAAGATTTCTAGAAATGGGTGAATAAACCATAATTTTAAAAATGTTTACATAGAGGTAAGAATGGGAATTATAAAGGGAGTCTAGATTCACAATTCTTTGAATATAGTTGGGTTTTATATATGATTTTGATAATTTAGCTTTGGAACACTAGCATGTTTGTACAATTATAAGACTTAAAACAGGAAGAAAATGGTAGATGTGAAATTTATTTAATTAGTTACTGACATAGCTCCATAGACTGAGTCTTTCCAAAGTAATTTCAAGTATCATAATTTGTTACCACCAAGTGTTTAAACCAGTGATAAAACCTTAAAACAATTTTCAGTAATCACATTATTTTTTTAAGAACATTGCTTCTGTATTTTGGTTTAAAACAAATTTGCAATTCAGTTGGAGTCAGTGAAAGTTAATCAAAAGCCTATAATATTGTATTTGAAATGGTAGTGGAACTGAATATGTATTTTTTTTTGCTTTAAGAAGTATACTTTGTGTCTCCACTGAAAATGCCTGCTAACGAAGACTAATTTGAATTGAATCATTTGAAGTAGATGTGTTTTGTCTTTATTATAGTTGAGGAGAGATGACAGTGTGAAAGGAGACATGTTGTTAGAAAAATCACTTTTCTTTACAAGCTAGAAATAAGCCAGGAGTGGGCTCAGGAGTGAGTATTCTGGAACATTAGATTATTTGCTGTACTCTAAACCTCAAGGTCCCCCACAGACCAGATCTCTGATGTTCATCTCTATCAGTTGTCTTTAGTTCAAAAGAATTGTGTCTAAAATGGTAAGGAGAAAAAGCAAGATTTTTTGGGGGAAAGAAATTAAAATTTCAGGTATATAGTTGGCTCTAAGGGGCTAAGGGATCTTTTCTAGGCAGTTAAAAACACCGAATGTTAACAATTATCAAACAAAGGTTTAAATAAATGGAGTGTAACTCTTAATTTTTCTCCTCTCACTGGGTCTTGAATTGAACTTAAAACCTCCTGCTTCTGTTTGGCTTTTCCATTCCCGGCTGGCACTTAGTCACCTGAACCATGCTTTTTAGGTGGTAAATCGGAAATAAGAGCCTCATGGGCTTCTATTTTCTTTTTATGGTCTTGGTTGATTTTGAACAAGAATCCTCAAATCTCAGCCTTCTGAGTAGCTAGGATTACAGGAGTAAGCCAGTTCCCAAATTCATCTTTCTAAAAGGATAGATTTGTTCACATTGCATCACTTTGTATCTTTTACTTGGGTCTTCATTGTTTGTAAGGAGATAACATTATCCTGCTCTTTTTGCCTTAAGATCTATGACTTCTAAGTTTCTATGAACTGTTTTCTGCTCTAAGCAATTATTTATTGTCCATCCTTAAAAAAAATCAGATCATTCTAGTCATGCATAGTTATACACATTTATTGCATCCTGATATTCTGCAAAGATTATAATGCAGGACATGCATCTACACACAAGTATACTACTTTAATGTCTATTCTTGAATTGTGTAGTTTGGAGGAACTCAAGAGTCAGATTGGAAACATTCCATCATTGCCAGGTATGCAATACTATAAATTTACATTTTGAATGTAGGGTAATATTATGTTGAGATAAATTTTTTGGAAGATTTTCCCCCAGATGCCTCAATATCATAGAAAAGTAGAACCTGGAAAAAAAGTTGAGGATTCCTTTTAATTCAATCTCTTTATTTTTAAAATAAAATAAAGACACCTAGAATGATAAATGACTTGCTCACAGTAAAACATATGGATTGAGAGTTATTTATTTCATTCATTCTTGGGCTTTTATTTGAGAGCACAATGAAGACGAACTTCAAAAAGTCCTGACTGTGGAGGAGGGTCCCTGCTTTCACTGTATTTGATGTCAGTATAATTTGTGGAGGGGAAGGGGAAGGGATACAGGTGGACCCGTTGCAACAATGAGATGTACAAGTCGTTATGTCGAAAACGAACTTTACAACTTTGGGGGGGGGGTGAGGATTGGGTGGGGGGGCAGGGGGAGGATGTGAAGGGATGGGAAGGGGAAACAAAGGAGGAGGCTACAATGCTTGATAAGAAATGTACTCATTATCTTGCCCATGTAATTGTAACCCCTCTGTACAGTATGTTCACAATAAAAAATAATAAAATAAAAAATAAAAAAGTCCTATCTGTGTGCAGTTGAGAAGAAATAGCAGTAGACTCACCAATATTGTGTACTGAAAATAAAAGATGATGTAATTTTCCTTGGGCAATAACTTTGGATGGAGGGTAACTGAGTTGAAATAACAATAAAAAGTACAACAATAAAACAGAAAAAGAGTATACTTCACCAATCACAGCTTTAGATTTTAACCACAGAAAATTGCTCTTACATAGGTGTAAAAACAAAATTAACATTGGAAAAGGAAATAATTCCATATTATACTTTTTTTTCATTCTCTAAGAACCCAGATTACTTGTAACACTAGTATTGTCTACTGTTGATTTTGTTGTATTTAGTTGTTTGGCTTTTAAACAGAGGGAGGCATCTAGATTAACTATATACATAATTGCCATTATTTTAGGGTTTTTCTTTATAAATTCTGGGAACTCCAGATGTTCTGACTTTTTAAAAGAAAAATGGTATCTTTTTTTCTATCATTTCTTCTCTTTAAAGCATTAAAATAGTCATTCACTATAACAGATTTGGAATTATGGAGAAAGCAACTACATGCATATGCATGAATCTTGAGAGCTAAAAGGGACGTAGCAGATTAGCATTTTATTAGATGCCAGCATTATATCTGATGGCTGACAACTCTGGGCAATCTGAGTTTGAGAATTCTTCATTTTAAGACTTGTACATCTGCAAAGTATGAAAGGCAATGTCAACTTCCAGAAGACAAAGTTGAATTAACTACAATTGTGACTTAATGTATAAAGCAGACAAAGACATGCAGAATTCAACCCATTAATTAGAGAAAATGGGAATGTGTTGACAGTTAGAAGCATTAAACCAAAGGCAAGAATTGAAGGAATAGTGATGCTTATAGAAACTTGTAAACACATGTAACGATAACTATCATGAGCAAATGATACTATGTGCAGGGAGAACATGAATGCACGAGAAAGTAAAAGGTACTTTAAACTTTATTTAACTTGCTCAGTATATTGGGATTCATTTTGTCAAGCTCAGTATATTGGGATTCATTTTGTCAAATCATTGTAATTTTGACAAAAACAAATTTGAATAGGGCAAATATGTTATTTTGAGAAACTTACAGATCAGAGAAAGAAACTATTCTGCTTTTTCTTCT